CACTCATGCCCCACCCCACCCCCACACCCCCACACCCCCCCGGTAACCGGCCAATGCCACCGAACACCACCACCCCTCCCGGTCGCCTGCCTGCAGCGAGCTCCTCTCGGTCAGCGTGCTCCAGACGCGCAGCATCCAGCAGCGTCTGGATGTCGAGACGAAGAAGCTGTACGGCGAGCGCGCCGGAGCCAAGCTCCCCTCGGCCTTCGCCAGCGCCCTGTCGGGATTCCAACAGGCGGTGACCAATCTGCACGCCACGTCGCACTTCATCCTCGGCATCACGTCGACCGCCGGCGGCCCGAGTGGCAGCAGCAGCAGCAGCAGCAGCAGCAGCAGCAGCAGCAGCGGCGGCGGCGGCGGCGGCACCGCCCGCACGCAGCAGCCCGGCAGCGGGACCACCGGCAAGGCCACCGCCAACCGGGCCGCGACTCGGGCCCCCGGCGCTTCGAGCACCGGGCCAGGCGCCACCAGCCCCGGCCAGGGGGGAGCGTCCGCGGCACCGATGCCGCTGCTGCTGCTGGACCGCAAGCGCTGCCAGCAGGTGACCGACACGCTGACCGCCATCGCCGACGAACTGACGGCCTTCATCCCGGCCCTGGCACGGGCCACCTCGCCGGAACTGCTCAAGGCCTACAGCCGCCGGGGGATTCGCCAACTCCCCCGGGCCGACCGGATGCAGCTGCTGGACGCGGCCACCGACGCGCGGGTGGCCATCCGCCTGTATGCGGAGCTGGCCCGGGCCACCCTGGATACGTGGCTCCCCGGGCGCGAGTGCCTGGAGGCGGCCATCGTCCTGCTGGAGGCCGAGCACTCGGCCTCCGGGGCGGCGGAGGCCGACTCGTCCGACTCGTCCGGCTCCGAGTCGCACACCTCGGACCATGAGTCGACATCCGGCGGCGAGTGGACCGATGGCGAAACCGAGCGCCGCCAAGCGCATGCCGGGCTGTCGGAACTTCGCCGGCAGCTGGTGGCCGCCACGGCCGGGCAGAACCCCAGCTTCATCGGGGTCGTGCGCACGGACCTGGACACCCGGCGCCTCATGCGAGCGGCCATTCGCGATGTGCAGGACCTTTGCTCCTTCTACTATGCCGGGCTCTTCCCGGATATCATCGAGCCGCTGTTGGACATCGGCAGCCGGCATTTCTCCACCGACCGGAGTTCCCTGCACACGGCCTACATCCCGGCGCACTTGTCCTTCATCATCTCCGAGGTGTTGAAGAATGCGGCGAATGCCGCCTGTGACCGGGACATCGAGGCCCACGAGCCGGCCCGGCGCTTTGCCCTGACCCATGACAACATTCGCCCGGTGTACTTCCGGCTGAGCCGGCTGACGGCCACCGCGGCCGCCCGGTGCCTGCCCAACTCGCCGGTCTTCGCGCGGGCGCGCGACCTGCCCGGAACCGCAGCCAAGGGCCCCGCCGCCGCTGGGGATGCCATTGCCGCGGCCGCCGCACAGTCCCTCCCCGAGGTGGTATGCATCCAGGTGGCCGACTCCGGCCATGGGATTCCCTCCAACATCGACAATGTCTGGGACTATGGCTTTAGCTCGGTACGGCGTTCTCTCGCCCTCCCCCCTCCCCCCTCTCCTCCGCGGGCCTCCTTCGTGGTTGGCACATGCATGCTCGCTGCCTGGCCGGCCGGTCGGCTGGTGCACGCGGATGCGACCCGCCTCTCTCCCTCCCAGTATATATATATATATACATATGTATATATGTCACTTTCTTCCTCCCCTCCTCTGCCTTTCTCTCGGTCCCCCTTTTTGCCTTGCCCTGTCTCACACACGCATACACACACACACACACACACACACACAGAGACCCATCCACGATAGCCACAGCGACGCGAACCATTTCGCCTTGCAGGCACAGACCGGCATGCAGTCCGGGTCCGGGGCCTCGCTGGCGGGCTTCGGCTTCGGCCTGCCCCTGGCTCGGCGGTATGCGCGCTTCTTCGGCGGGGACATCTTCGTCCGCAATGGCCCCAAGTCCCCGTTCCCCGAGGATATCCTGCCCTCGCTGCCGGGATCCGGCTGCCATGTGGACATTTTCCTGGTGGTCCCGGCCAAGAAGTGAGGAGGGGCCCCGGCCAGGGTCTCCTGCCGGCCTCGCCCGCCCGCCCGCCCGCCCGCCCGCCCGCCTGTGCTGACCCGGGGTCACGCGCCGTGTGTGGCCCCCTTTCCTCCCCTTGCGGCATAGACGCCGGGCAATGGCGCGCGTGCGCGCGCTGCCCCCGGCACACTGGGACATGGCGCCATGTGAGACGAGGAATAAACACGCTGTGTATATGGATGTGGCATGTGGCCCCCGGCCGTTGTGGCCGCACGCCGGCAGAAGGACAGGCGGGAGACCCCCCCCACATACAGGGGAAAGGGCCAACGGCGGCAGACGCCCATGACTCGATTGGGGAGGCGAGGGGAGGCAGACTGAAATGTGGCGAGCGCCGGCGGCGCCTCGCCCTTTGCGCGCATGCACCCCTTTCACCAGGGCCATCTCAATATACCGTATCGGCTTGGCCATTTTTGACACGCCGCCGTGCGCGAGCCGCACGCATTTGCCCCAAGCATGGAAGCCCGATCCATCGGCAGCGGAAGCGAAACGTTGGGAGCTTGGCGGGGTTCGGGAGTCCACGTTATTGTCTGCCTGCACGTGCGGGGCACATGCCAGCGGTCCAAGCCTTTCCTCGATCGAACATCGCGTGTGCCCCCGTGTGTGGCGGGCTCGCATGCTGCCGCGGCGCTGCGAGCATTACACACGCAGGGAGCCCACGCAAGGTAAGCCCCCCCCCCCTCCCCCCCCCCGCACCACCCTGCGCCACGGCGCCACGCCACGCTCACGCCGGCATATCAGCCCCCGGGCTTGACTCGAGGCCCCGGCCAGGCAATCCACAAACTAGACTTCCCTCCAGCTGCCTACTCCCCCCCCCCCCTCTCCCCCTGCCTTTCGGTCCCTTCCTTTTTGTCTCTCCTCCCCTTGCCGGCAGCCCCCTCCCGCCCGCTTGGCCGGACATTCGCCCGCCCCTGTCCCATCCTACGCCCGGCAGCCACCTGTCCGTGCACTCTCTATTGCCGTGCGCCAGCCCCAGATGTCGGAGAGTGGTGCCCCCATCGCCAGGTCCCGGATCGCCGCGGCGGCCCCTGGAGCCCTGCCGGGCCTCGCTCCCTCCGGTGCGTGGCAGCCACCCCCCCTGGGGGCAGCTGGCATGCGCAGTGTCGGCCAGCATTCTGGCCGGAGTGTCACAGAAGCACTGACCCATGCATGGCAATGGCCTTCTCCCTCCCTCCCTCCCTCCCTCCCTCCCTCTCTCTCTGCCTCTTTTGTTGTTCGGTGACCTGGCGCACAGTGCGCATTGCGGCTCCTGGTGGCGCGGCCCCCGCCACAGGCGGGGTGGTTTTTCGCCGCCCCGGGCACAGGTCGCGCCAGCGATCGGAGCCGGCCACCCATGCCACCCCGCCGGCGCAAAGCCCGCTCGAGGCGCCACCCGACGACCTGGTCTTTCTGCGTGTGAAGCGTCGCCGGAATGATGAGCCACTGGATACTTTCGGTGCGCCACGGGCCAGGGCGGCCAAGGACCCCCCCCCCCCTCCACTTTCCCCCCTCCACTTTCCCCCCTCCCTCCTCCCATTGGACGCCCTCCTGCTCTCGAGACCCGCTGGCTAACACCCCCGGCTCGGCCTTTCGCTGGACACAGTTGTTCCGGACAGTGCGACCCCGTCGGACGCGGCCGGGGCCAAGCGCATGCGGCTCTTCCGCCGGGCGGTAACCACGCAATCGTCCTCCAGTCTGCCGACCCTGCTGCTGGATCCCAAGCGCCGGCATGACGCCATGCAAAATCTGACCGCCGGTCAGCCGAGCACCGGAGGCGCGGTGTCGACCGCGGAGGCGCCAGCCCAGGGTACTCGAATGGCCGGGCCGGCAGCCGGCGATGCTGGCGGGGCTGTCCCGGCTGCCAGCTCGGCCGCGACCCGGCGCCCGGAAGAGGCCGAGGGGGTGGACCTGGCCATGCTGGTCCCCCCCGGCCCGGGGCCAGCCAAGCGGCCGACGGTGGGTCTCTTCAAGCCAACCATCCCGAAGTCCGGGCCTCGAGCCCCGGGCCCGTTCACGGCGGCGGCGGCGGCGGCGACGGCGGCGGCGGCGGCGCCGCCCACCGGGCCTTCGACGTCCGGGGACCGGCCGCTGAGTCCGCCGCTGAGCCCGGCCTTCCCGCCGCATCCCCTTTGGGGGGGGCCGGCCCCGCCGACGAGTGGCAGCCCCCGGCGGGCGGCTGGTCCCGGGGTCGGGGCCCAGGCCCTCCCGTCGGGGGAGATGCTGCTGGAGGCACGGACTGACCGGATGCGGGAGGATCGGGCCTCCTCGCGCCAGCAGACCTTCCGGATTGCGCGCCTTCGACGGGCGGCCCCCACGGCGCTGGATGCCAGCCGACTGACGGCGGCCGAGCGAGCCAGCGCCGCGCCTCTGGCCGCCGGAGCCCGGCTCATCGACTTGGAGGCCCTGGCGGAGGGGCATGCGGATCGGGCGGCCGGGCTGCCGGCCGACCCGTCCATCCTGGGGCCTACCGGGGACCGGCATTCGGAGTATGTGTACGATGTGTACTGCGAGGCGGATGCCGGGGCGGCCGGGGGCCCGGGAGGGCATGCCGGCCGGGCTGGCATCGATGCCGATGACGCTGGCACCATCGAGTCCTTCGATGAGAGCCTGCTGCGGTATGCCAATGCTCCGGAGCCCTCCGGCCCCGGGGCCGTGGATGTGGAGAACTACTTCTGGTTCGATGACTATGACGATATGCTGGCCAATGAGTATGACCAGGATGCCATGGACGACGATGAGGACTCCAATGCCGAGGACTTCTGGGCCAACGATTACCCCGATGAGGAGGAGGACTTTGAGGACTACGTGCGTCCGGTGGCGTGTGCTGCTGTTGTGCATCGGTGCTGTGGGGTTTTTTTTTTGTGTATCTGCATATGCGCATGTGTGGGCGAATGCATTTGCGCCTGTCGCCGTATGCCCTGTGGGGGCTGCGCACAGTGCATTGCCCGGGCCGATCCCGGTTCCTGTCTAACCTGTGTCTTTTCCTTTTCCACCCACTGGAACGCCCATCGCCCTGGGAACCCCGTGCGGGATTATCCCCCCCCCCCCCCCCCCCCCCCCCCCCCTTTCTCCCTCGGCCCTTCGCAGCAACTTCCAGATGTGTCCTCCCCCCCCCTTCCGCCTTTTGGGTCTGCTGACAATTCGCCCCCC